AAGTGCAAACAAGATGAAGAGGTATGTCTATTTTAGCCCTAACAGTGGCACTTCAGTTAAGAGGGGTGTCAAGGATGCACTCCAAATACAGCGGGAATCCATGTCAGAGAAGTACCTTGGCCTGCCAACGACTGCGGGAAAGATAATTGAGCTACAATTTGAGCATATCGATGAACGGTCAAGGGCAAAGGTGCAAGGATGGTGTGAGAGGAAGATGTCATGTGCAGAAAGAGAAGTTCTTTTGAAGTCTGTAGTTCAAGATCTACCGGCCTACTCTATGAGTTTCTTTTGAACTCACAAAAGGTTTGTGCAAGAAACTGACGACAAATATGTCAAAATATTGGTGGGCTGGGTCACTAGACATAAAAGGAATGCACTGGCAATCGTAGGATAAGATGTGCATTGCAAAATCAAAGGGAGGACTCGGATTCCGGGATCTTGAGACCTTCAATGATGCGATGTTAGCCAAACAAGCATGGAGACTCCTTGAAAATCCAGATAGCTTGTGTGCTCATGTTCTAAAGGGTAGATATTACCCCAATGAAAATTTCCTCATCGATGGGTGTCCCGCAAGTGCATCAAAAACCTGGAAGGCAATCATCAAAGGGAGGGAGATGCTAAAACGGGGGCTCATTAGACGAGTGGGGGTGGAATAACTACTGAAGTTTGGCATGATCAGTGGATAGAAGGAACCAAGGCCATGAAACCAATGGGGTCACTGAAGCCAAACTCCATTCAGCTAGTTTCAAACTTGATTGATCCGGTGACAAATCAGTGGGACGCGGACACCATTCGGAGTGTGTTTTACCCACCGGATGCGGATGCAATTCTGTGCATGCCGAGACCACGTAGAGTGGGAGCGGAAATATGGGGCATGGGCTTGGGAAAAGTCTGGCCTCTTCACTATCAAATCCGCATATCGACAAACAATGAACCTCAAGCTACATACTACTGAGGCAGTGGGATCCTCTAATGGAGATGAAGCAGTATGGCGGTCGCTATGGAAGCTGAATGTCCTTCCCAAGATCTGGGTGTTCTGGTGGCACGTGCTAAGGGAATTCTTACCGTGCTATGGGGAGCTTTGATGCCATCATATCAAGCAGCTACCGCACTGCCCAATGTGTGGGAACGACAATGAAACTTTGTTTCATACCCGGATGGTCTGTGATCATGCTCGGGGCTTCTGGGAAGCAGCTGAGCGATTCTTTGGTATTACAATACCGCATCTCAACCCGCTGACATGGTCGCTTGACCTTTTAGAACATCGGATTTTCCGTAAGGATGAGGCGGCTATAATGATCACGGTAATGTGGGCTGTCTGGCACTCAAGGAACAGCTACACACATGGTGGAAGAGAATACCAACCACGACAATCCATGATTACCATTGAAGAGATTGTCCGAGCCTTGGAGATACCAAGGAAGGATGAAGTTCCGGTTGTGGTTAGCCCGAGATGGCAACCTCCAGAAGAAGGGTGGATTAAATTCAACACGGATGGAGCAACGAATTTTGAGCGAGGCAGAGGTGGAGCAGGTTTTATCACACGTGATCATCATGGCTCGTTTGTGAGAGCGGGTTGCACACGGTATGAGGGTATCACCGACCCTCTGTCCATTGAACTCCTCGCGTGTAGAGACGCGCTATCTTTGGCACTTGGGATGGGACTCCAGCAGGTGGTGGTCGAGACAGACTGTCGGGAGATACAACGTCTTTGGGAGATACCACAGAAGTCTGCCGGATTCCACCTTGTAAAAGAGATGAAGTACATGAGTGTTCTGTTCCAGGGATTTAAGCTACGGTTTTCCAGTCGCCATACAAACTTGGTGGCTCACCGCTTAGCTAGGCTAGCTGTAAATCATTCTATTACTCAACAATTGTATGAGACAATCCCTGGCTGGCTGACTGGTTTCCTACAGTCAGACATGCTAGCGCCTGATGAATAAAGTGCCGATGGGCGTTTAGCTTCAAAAAATTTTTGTTATGGTTCGTTTACGTCTATATACCTACTAATAAAAACACTCTTGCTAAGTCTCAGTCGATACTATATGGGCAATGCTACGTGTCCGTCGGGTGATAAACCGATAAGATCAGCCGCCTCGGCAACCGTCGGATGCCGCCCGAAATAGCCAACTGGGCGCCTTCGCAACAGCTAGCTTGTTGCGCTCATGGCTTTGCAACAAGGACCTTATTGCGCAGGTCCACTTAGACGACACTACTGCCACGCCATGGTTTGTTTGCCTCGGCCATGGAGCGTCGCGGCTGCCGGAGTCATCGTGCCTCCTCCGACCCAGCACCCCGGGTATCTGCCGCTATTCCAGGACGACAACTATGAAGTCTCACGCCGGACACTCCTCTGGCGATTTCTGCAACGAAGCTATGTTTCTGAAACATGCGTCGTGTTGCAATGCTTGCCCTCATACACCCTGACGCGGGGCACTCATGCAACGCTTTCTGCAACCGGGGCTACGTTTATGAAACAATACCCTTGTTGCATAAGAGAAAATATTCATCGTCAAACCATTTTCCTTGTTTTTGAAATAAGATCTCTGTTGCAGAAACTTTCTGAAACTAGACCCTGTTGCCGAAAGAAAAACTTCACTGCCAATCACTTTTTTTCTTTCTAGAACAACATCTCTATTGCAGAAAACTTCTGAAACAAGATGCTTATTGCAATAAGTAAATAAAACATAGATGCACGGGACTTGTCGCCGGTGCGAGCGCTCGATCAAAATCAATCCGACGGCTACGCAGGCGGCGGATGTTGTGTGTGCATCACCGGCTGAAGATTAGCGTTCTCCATACTATATCCATAAGATTTTACGTTGACACCCGTGTAAAATTTTCTTTTCAGTTTTTTCTTTTTCTCTTTAGCATGTTATGTCAGTTGACTGAGACCTAGCCACACCCTAATAAAAAAGAGGTAATATTCTTTTTTTGGTCAAGAGAGAGGATCAGACGGTGTCTCTAGAACCTCCTCGACCTGCTCACAACCTGTATTCGTGCGCCCATTGACAAGGGAGGGCAGCACCTAGGCAGAACTAGCCTACGCTGCATCGAAATAGAGCAACTGGCCATCAACATCAGGGACGATGACCGGGGAAAAGATCCCTTCAAAGGCGAGACGGCGCCGCGGGGTAGCTGGAAGGGCCGCAGGGAGATGGACGACGCTGGGGTGGCCCACTCCGGGAGGGGTTGGTTGAGTATCGAGCTTGGGGGAGGAGGGCGCTCAGACTAGCAACAATGGAGAGTAACATACACTAGTAACATACACATATCCCTAGACTATGTTACTATTTCAATAGTGGGTAGTAACATAAGTGTGGTAACATGCAAAACTTCATTTATTAGGTTATAGACTCGTGTTGCATTGGGAGATGTGATGTTACAGTAACTAGCTAAGTTACTAGTACTACATTTCTCCTCATTAACTCATTGCCACATAAGCAAATTTACTGAGTTGTACTCAATGTTACTACCGAAGTTACTCTCACTGTGGCTAGTCTCGTGACATAGGCGTTGTAATTTGATTTTGCCGCGGTTGGTGGCTCTACGCGTGACTGTGTTTGGCAGTGCATTCGCATCGTCGGGTTGTGATGATTTCACCTATGTCATCGACAGAAAGGATTTTTAGATACTCAGAATTATCGTTATGCATTTCCATAAGATATCCAAAATTCGAGTTTAATATTCAGTCGGAGAGTTCTTGGTCTGGTTTGAGCCCACGTTTCAACCCGGGTAAATGTCACGTGCCTGGGTGCCTGCGGCGATGGGTTGTGCTCGTACCAGATGAGGCGCGCTTGCAAATAATGCAAAGTAGTCGACCACGTGCACGTAGTGCTGGAGCTTGGCCGTGTAGTCGCCGGCGTTGTCTTCCTGCACTAGCGCGGCCGCGTGATCCTTCATGGCGCCGTACATTTTCGTCTAACCTCGATCGATCACCACGAGCTGCAACTCCGAGAAGAGAAAGCAGCTGGAGGAGAACGAGAACGAGAACGTGACAGACTCGTGTGGTGTCGCCGTGTCGGGCGACGGCTCGGTCCGTTCACTTTTGAGATCTCGCCCATCCCAACGCGTCGTCACACGCAGCGACTTAACGAACAGCGAAAAAATAACCCGTAACAGTGGGCCGTGGAAGCATATGCTGCCGTGGTATTCTTACCGGGCCTCTTTTGAAGCCCAATCGAACGAGAGACGCAGGGATTCTCTTTTCGTTTAGTACCACCTCGCTGGCCGAGAGCGGAGAAGAGGGAGAGGTAGCTATAAGAGGAGAGGGAGGGGAACGTTGCAAATCATACCTTTCTCGGCCTTTTGGCTAAGATCAAGTGTAGTATCTGTTCTTATCAGTTTAATATCTGATATGTGGGTTATGTGCCCACAACGATATTAAATTTATTTTTTATGGGGAAGGGTCCATCACAGTGGCTTGCCGCTTGGGCCCTTGCGTGTCGCCTGGGCGTTGCACTACAGCCCAGGCAGGCGCACCCCAACCAATACTAATTTGAAAGTTTGAATTTTACCTTAGAATTCACCTGCTGCAGTTAATACAGAATCACCTTTTCTCTCAAATAGCTGTAGCACTGGACGCTGCCAGTTACCCTCTATAATAAGAACAGAAAAAACCTCGCTCACCATACAGCAGCCGTCCATGTGAAAAAGTCATGCCAAGGTAAATCTTGGAGAGATTGTGACCCCGGCTTCTGTTAGTTGTCACCCCATAACATTCTCAAGCATAACTTAAAGTTTGAGACCGACAATCCCAGAGATGTGCAGTAGCAGTCATGACATTATTTACATAAAGTCATCGGGAACTAAACACGATGAGCGGACACAAGTTTTAAAAGCATTTGTTACATTATACTCCCTCCGTCCTAAAATTATTGTCTTAAATTTGTCCAAATACAGATGTATCAAGTCACGTTTTAGTATTAGGTACATCCATATCTAGACAAATCTACGACAAGAATTTTGGGATCGGAGGGAGTAGTACCTAGGAATGAGTTTCATGTTTGTGTCACCTCATACTGGTGGCAGATCCTCAACGGCGTGTCTTCCGAAACTGGCCTCTCATCAGACCAGAGCTCCATCTTCAGATCACTAGTTCCCCAATGCACCAAACATTTGCTAACCTGACGGTGATCGAAACGGTTTACCATGCTCAGTCCTGAACACTTATCCACCAGCGTCCACTCCCCTGATCAATGAGTTTGCCAGAAGACCGGAGAGTGGATTAAAGAATCAGCATAAACATTACGAGTGTCCAGGATGGCAAGGCCAAAGATGTTGGTCAGGCAACAAGAAACTTGAAACATTGTGCAGTGACAGATATTTACCGTTCGGTCGGAGGCCTCCCTCGAGTGTCACTTCTCCGGAATCTAAAGAGATCTCTTGCGTTGAACCATTGATGGCCGTGAAAGCAACAACGGCCGCAGTAGGGTGTAGAAGCGTAAAAGTGGGACGGACTCGCAAACAGACCAACCTTCAGAGGAGAAAACATATACATCGATGAGTCATAATTAGGGCTGGCAGAAGAAGTTTTACTATCGGACAAAGCATGTTGACATTAGCCCGGACTAGAGATGTTACTGTGTTATTTTAATGAAACTGTTCAGGTTCAAAAGTTTTTTTTCTGAAATATTGTCAGGTTTAAAAGTGGAAGATAGAGGATGTGGTGAATCAGGGTTCGAAACCCAGGCCGGCTAGGAGGCACAGCTGCGCTCCAACCACTGGGCTAAGTGTTCACCCAACCATGCTTGCCTCTTATGTGATCAAGACGATGAGACAATCTCATATCTTTTGACAAGCTGCCATTTTGCTATGAAGGTTTGGTTCAGGTTACATTCCCAGGTGGATGTGCAGGATATCACTCTGTCCCCTGACAAGAATCTGAATTACTAGCACTCACCTTGAGAATCCACCAGAGCCAGGCCCAACACTTCTTGCTTGAATGCTAGAGTCAATCTGGAAAATCTTGGGATTGCCTTTCAGAATAGATATGTGGCGTTGAAGAACCAGTCCACCCCCAATATCTCCTTCCAGACAAATAGATTCCTCCACGCATGATTGCTCCAGATGCCCCCTGCAAATTTCTATCAACAGTTACTGTATAGCTAAAACTAGAACTCCACACAAACTAATCACTTGACAGGCCAAAGCATATCAATATAATTATGAAATATAGAAATCGGTATACGATGATGATTTATTTTACCTAATGATCTTGTACTCTTCTGTGCAGCCAGCAGACATATATTCAGTCCCACTGTACTCCTCATAACCATGAATTTCAATTCTGCTATGCAGCCACTGGGAATCTAGAGAGAGCCAGAGACCAAGTACATGTGATACTTAAGCTAATAAGAAAATATTTTTCGGACATATTTACAATCAATGAAGCATATACACGGACTCCATCCACATTACTCAAATTATAAAGTATCTAAGAAACTTCAAAAACCAATAAAAACTGCCTCAAAATTCTCTATTTAAAATCAATGAACTTCAAAACCAATGGACTTCCTATTTTGTGATGCCTTAAAATTCTCTATTTAGCAAACAACATAGCCTACTACTATTGACACACAGACATCACAAAATAATACTCCCTCCGTTCCTAAATATTTGTCTTTCTAGAGATTTCAACAAGTGACTACATACGGAGCAAAATGAGTGAATCTACACTCTAAAATATGTCTATATACATCCGTATGTGGTCACTTGTTGAAATCTCTAGAAAGACAAATATTTAGGAACGGAGGGAGTAGAAGTCTATTGATCATATAGCACCAAAGAAGCATACCAGAAGGAAGATGAGTCATCGAAATAATACGGCCGCCAATCCATGGTACAATCTTAAGAAACCAGTCCCCACTCTTCAAAACAATAGGTGTTTTTGAGAGCTCAGCGCCTTCCTGTCCTGATGACTCGTCCATATCAGGTATAGGACGAATTGTCCTGTACAACCATTCCAAGATACCAAAGCAGGCCAAGTTCAGTCAAATTGAACTATAGTTATAGTAAGCACTTCAAATATAAACTACTATAGTCATAGATACATACTTAAGCGTTCCTTGAGATCAAGTTCAGTTGTTGCAACCAAGCTGGACACTTCAAACTCAGAAGGCATCGTACAATGCACATCTTCACCATCCACACCACGTGAACTTATCTGAGTTCACAGAAATAATAAATTAAGTCCTTACTGCAGAAAAATAATGTGATAAAAACAAAATGCAACAAATATACATACCATAGCACCTCCACCAAGCAAAATACTTATGTTTAAGTTACGGTTTGGTCTCTTCCAGGATCCTTCGGTTTTCAGAACTTTCACAGAAACCACTGATGAGTGGACTTCGGCAGATAGTCTCCCTGTGTGAACCCGTATCCATCCCCGGCATCCTCGAACAAGACTCCTTCTGCTTTACCTGTAAAAAAAGTCATACATGGTGAAGAACAGAAAGTATGCACACCATATGACAATGCTTAAATCAGTATCTTCAACACAGAAAACTGGCTAAAAATGCAGTGCAGAATTCTGTTATTCTATTTGTTTGAGCACATGGGAGTACTTGCTAAATCACACATTACTAATAGTAACATGGTCAGATCTTCACAAAGGTATAAGAGATGTATAATTATGAATGTCATTAAACATAAACACCTCACGATAGACCACAGATCACAAACCCAAGTTACCTCAGGCAAAGTTACAGAAACGTACCATTTTCATCCAGTGCAACAAGTAGTGATAAATTGTCCGCTAAACTTGCTTCACCAACATGCTGAATAGGAAGGCCTACAGGAAGTATTGCTCCACCTCTTAAATACAGCATCGGCAGATCCTATATTATCAGTCATAAAGAAATAAAAATTAGTTCCAGAATAGCTTTCTAGGAAGCACAATAAAAGTCTACCAACCAACTTACGGGGTGTGAATCTCCAAAATCAAAAGGTAACCAGATGCCATTTGGCAACTTATGTGCACATTCATGAGCTCCTTTATCAGGTAAAGTGCTGCCAAAAGACCGGAAGTTTTGATGTCACATAGAAGAATAGAAAAATATACAGATGACACATCATTATGGCCACTGGTTTCTCTATTTTTAAAGGGATGACAGAAAATTTACATTTTTTAGTGAAGGGTGAAGAACATATTGGCATTACACACAAAATTCTACCGACACACAATAACATGCAAGCTCATGCATACAAGCAAATCTTGGTTTCCAGGATAACAAAGCAAAGAGGTACGTTGTGACCTCATTGATGTGATACCATTACCTTGCACAAACTAAAAGTGGCCCCAGGAGAAACGAAGTCTCAATTTTCCTCAGTTCCGTATCTTGTGGATCTACAACAAAGTAATGAATAAGATTTTGTATTACATAACAAAACTCATCCAACTATCTACTATCTGCCACACCAGTGAGGAAGAACATAAATACTTTTTCCGTGTCTAGTCCTGAATCATAACATTCAATGACTGCCATTTTCTGGGAGCCTGTTTCGATGGGAATTTCACAGGTTTCATATAGGAACAACACCATTTCCTGCAAACTTTATGTGAAATTACTGTGTTCCAACTTCCAAACATGCCCGTGTCAAAGTAGTGCAACCACCAATCTTCATTTTATAGACGTACACCTAGAAAATACAAGAGAATGCGGACATGTTTTCCTACATCCCATTTATTGCTAAAATCTACAAACATATTAGCCAACTTAGACCATGGGTCTCTCCCACTTCAATATATTTTAGTGAATAGTAAGACGGCCATTATTACCAGCAAAGAAAAGTGGCGCAGCAACTGGAGTACCCTTCTTATGTGAAACATAAAACAGAGTGTAGATGTGTAGCAGTAGCCGATACCGCCTCAGTAACGCGAGACGACAAACTTCCTCACACTGAAATATGCATTAACTGTCAGAAATAGCTAGTAGTATCTCTATTAAAAATTAACGACGCTAAAAAGCATCGGAGGACCTTCATATATGAATAAATTGGAATCCGTAAAACGTCGGCACAATATATTACTAAATGAAAAGGATTCTTCGTAATATGTTATATGCACAGTACTCCCTCCGTAAATAAATATAAGAATGTTTAGATCACTAAAGTAGTGATGTAAACGCTCTTGTATTTCTTTACAGAGGGAGTAGTATACAAGTTTAGGAAGGGAAAAAAGAGTTGTCCTCAGAGTGCATAAACCATAAATCATTTGTCTGGCTAAATGACTTACATAATAAAATGGAGGAAATGTTGTATGAAATGTATGTTAATCTCATGAACAAGGAAGCTCTCCTGTAGATTTGACTCATATACTAAGGAAAAAAATAATGGACATATGCACCTTATGTACCAAAATGTAAAGTATAAGAAACAAGCAAAGACACTGAACCTTCTAGGCGTGCAACAAGGTTTTGTTTGTGTGCATACACATTGTAGCTGAGGGACATGAAACACACAAACAATACCTCTTCACCAAAGGACCATGGCTCATGATCAACGGTTCCAGCTTCAGAATGGCCACGTGAGAAAGGAAACAACGCACCCACTCCCATCCATCTTCCAAAAAGTCTTGGAGTAGCATTTCCAGCAAAACCACCAATATCAGGACCCGACAGCGGCTGACCGCTCAAACCCTGATTGGATATAACCACATTATTGATTCCTAGAAGTGTATGATTATCATACCCAGTAATGGACAATTTGATGGTTTTAATTTTTTGATGTCAACATATTGAAATGATTTGCTTGAAGTAATCAGAAACAAGAAACAAGCTTGTAAAGTTGCAATGAAAGTAAAATTAAAAGAACAACGGAAATTTGTAACTAATACAGGAGACAATGCGATTGAGAACGTTGCTTTAAGATCACAAGACTGTGGTCACGGTACAATCAAATCACAGGATTAATGGTGTGTTCATCTGTCCACTCAAACAATTGAATACACTTCTGTTTTAAGATGAATTGGGTAAAAAATGATACTTCCTCCGATCCAAATTAATTGTCTCTGATTTAGTGTAAATCAATGAAAATTAATATGGATCGGAGGGAGTAAATGATTTGGT